GTCTCGTGCCATCGGGGGAACCTGAGAATGCAGCCGGTGTTTCTTCCAGCTGACCATAGAGCTGATTGGAGATTGGAATGGTGCCAATCATCTCTATAGCCTAAGAAATCAGAAGCTATGGGCATTTCATCTCTTCAGTTTCGCAGGATATAAACAGCGCCATTTGTAAATTGGGAAAGCATCTGATCACACCAATCTTGGTTTGATTAGATAATGTAAGAGTAGAGGAGATATCCAGAGTCTGATAGACCCCAGATTTCTCAAAAAACAATATAAGACAATGCCCATTGAAGTTATAGGGGATATTTGCATTCCCTGTTATAGCATTAAAAGTTATCAAAAAAAAAATGAAAGGTACAATGTAAAAATAATTTTAAAAAATCAAAATAACTAAAAAAAAATAAAAAATTGCCCCTCCCATGCACGCACACCTGTGTGCACAAGCCTTGACCCTGTGCCGGTATGTAAACAGCAGTTGCACCATGCATGTGTGGTATTGCCGTGAACGTCAGATCACGGGCAGTAATTCTAACACTAGACCTCCTCTGTAAATCTAAAATGGTAGCTTTTAAAGGCTTTTAAAGCCTTGCCTATGGATATTAAAAATGTTTGCAGTTTGTCGCCATTGCACGGGGCATGCGCAGTTTTAAAGCATGTCATGTTTGGTATCTATTTACTCAGCATACCATTATTTTACCAAATAATTGGCCAATATATTGTGTTTTTGTGCATTAAAAGTAAAAAAAAAGTGTATTTTTCTTTTAAATTTGCTTTTGAAAAATCGCTGCGCGAGTACTATGTGCCATAAAAAATTGTAGTACCCACTATTTTATTCACTAGGGTGTCTGCTTTAAAAAATATATAATGTTTGGGGGTTTAAATTAATTTCCTAGCAAAAAATACTGATTTTTTTTCATGTGAACAAAAAGTGTCAGGAAAGGCTTGGTCTTCAGGTGGTTAGAAGAGTGAGTGATGTGTGGCATAAACGTCTAATGCTGGGCATAGAATGCCCCCACCCCCCCCAAAACGACCCCTTTTTGGAAAGTAGACACCCCAAACTATTTGCTGAGAGGCATGTTGAATCAATAGAAGAATTTATTTTTTTACCACAAGTTTTTTGAAAATGACAAAATAAATTTTTTTTACAAAATTGTCAATTAAATGATTTACTGCTCACAAATGCCATATATATATGTGGAATTACTCCCCAAAATACATTATGCTACTTCTCCCGAGGTATGGGGGTACCACATGTGAGAGACGTTTTGGCAGTCTAGCCAAGTACAGGACCCCAAAATCCTTCAGGCTTTTAAAGGGCTTTATAAAAGGTTTATATAAATGTGTATCGTAAAGTGACAGTCAATATTAAATCATTAGTTGACAGCGGTGACTTCGGTGGTATGGTGAGTAAATGTAGATTGCACTAACCCAGATAGTGCATACAAAAGCGCATTTGAGTGTTTAGACCAACTCCTGGTCATCTGCGTCTAGGCATCTGGAACTGTCAAGGTCCTACCTTTTCCCAGAGGTTATGCTGCACCATGTGCTGGCATCCATCTTGGGTTTCTGCAGAGCATGGTGGGAGCCTTTTATGCTTTCAGGCCTCTGCGTTCCATCCCCCAGGGGGGTGTGGGTTGATCACATTTAAGCCTGTTGTCTGCACTTGCTCTTTGCATTCGTGTCTTGTATGATTGTGTTGCAGCAAGCTCTGTTCCTACTCTCGTGGCTCTCCTGGAAACTGACTCGGCTTTGACTAGACTATTCTCAGCATTATCCCTTTATCTGACCTCCCGTTGCTGAATCCGGCTTGTGACCTGTATATTCTTGTCTACCGTTCTGTACTGTCTGTCCCGCTGTTATCGACCCAGCCTGCCCGACTACGCTATTGTCTTATCTAGTTCCTACCAGCTGTACGCCATTGGTAGCAGCCATTACCACTGCTGGGGTGACTCGGGGGCCGCGACCTGGATCCTGGCTGCGTCAAGTCCATCCCCACCATCAGGGGCCCTGGTGAAGGGCAGCCTGGGGCTTAGACTCCGCGCCCTGAGGGACTCCGGTCAGTGGGTAGTGGTTGTCGTCAGTCGGTGCGTGACCCTGCCATTAGGCCTTCCTGTCCGTTCCACAGCTCCTGCCCTAACATTACACAAATGCCATGAATCCTGACGGTGCAGGTACGCCTTTGCTTCCCATGTTAGTCACCAGACTTGATCAACAGGATCTCCTGTTAGATCAGTTCGCTCAAGCGTTACAGACGCTGTTTACACGCACCGCACTCCTGGTGCTATTAGGCCGGTTGTCACTCCGGTGGTCGCCCCCGCTGCTGCTCTGGTTGTTGCGCCTACCGCCGCGGTTGCTGCTGCACCCGTGGTGCCCAGAGGTATGACTGGTTCAGCCCCTCTTCCACAGCGCTTTAGGGGTGAGCCGAGTCAGTGTCGTGGGTTCCTCAACCAGGTGGGCATTTATTTCGAGTTAATACCCCACACTTTTCCGACTGAGAGGTCAAAGGTGGGCTTCCTAATCTCGCTGCTCTCAGACAAGGCCTTGGCAAATCCCTTATGGGAGAGAAATGACCCGGTGATTCACGAGTTTTCCAGTTTTGTCGCGCGGCCTTCCGTAGGGTATTCGACGTGCCGGCTCGCTCCACCTCGGCTGCCAAGATGTTCATGTCCATGCATCAGGGTTCACGGACTGTTGCCGAGTACGCCATAGAGTTTCGTACCCTGGCGGCAGAGGTGGGCTGGAACAATGAGGCTCTGGTGGCTGCTTTTTCTCATGGCCTTTCAGATGCATTGAAGGACGAGATTGCAGCCAAGGAACTGCCTTTGGAGCTGGAAGCACTCATTTCCTTCCTAATCCTGATTGACACCAGGCTCAGGGAGAGGCCTTCACTCAAGGAGCGCCTGCGGAGGCCTCCCAACCTACTGGCGCCTGCGTTTTCTGTCCCACCCGTTCCTCCCTCTCCTCCCACGCCTCCTGGGGATGGCTTGTCTGGCGGTGAGCCCATGCAGCTGGAGTTTGCTCGCCTTTCCGAGGGAGAGCGGGCCGCTCAGTGTCGGGAGGGTCGCTGCCTGTACTGTGGCCTTGGTGGGCACTTTCGGCAGTCCTGTCCTGTCCGTCGGGAAACGCTCGCACCTGAGATCCTGTCGGGGACAGATCTTGGGTGGAGTTTCCTCGTCCCCGGCGTTCCGCAAAGATAAACCACTGATCACCGTTGTCCTCTCTTGGGCGGAGGGCTCGGTGACGACCCAGGCGTTGGTAGACTCTGTGACCGGCGGGCTGTTTATGGACAGCTCGTTTGCTGCCCAGTACTCCATTCCCCTTCAGGCTCGAGTTACCCCATTGGTTCTCGAGGCGATAGATGGCAGGCCCCTGCAACCGCCACAGGTTACCCACTAGACCCTGCCGTTTGAAGTAGCTATTGGGGCTGTTCACAGGGAGTTGGCCTGTTTTCAGGTCATTTCTTCCCCGCACTATTCTGTGGTTTTGGGCTATCCCTGGCTCCAGAGGCACAATCCAACCCTTAATTGGCGAACGGCCGAGATTCTCTCGTGGTCTCTACAGTGTGGGGGCCGGGTGCATCCGTGGGCCGGTTAAGGTGTTGTGTGCCTCCTCGGACTCTGTGTTGCCCACCGACTATGGGGAGTACCTGGACGTGTTTGACAAGGTGCGCGCTGGTGCCTTACCTCCCCATCGTCCTTACGACTGCGCCAGACCCTTGCAACCCGGTGCCACTCCTCCGTGTGGCAGGGTGTATCCTCTTTCGGTTGCGGAGAATCAGGCCATGGAGGAGTACGTTGCGGATGCACTTTCCCGGGGGCACATTCGTAAGTCTACCTCCCCAGCAGGAGCAGGCTTTTTCTTCGTAAAGAAGAAGGGTGGTGAATTGAGGTCTTGCATCGATTATAGGGGTCTCAATCGAATCAGCATCAAGAATGCCTACCCTATCCCGTTGATTACCGAGTTGTTCGACTGCCTCAAGGGAGCAACGGTCTTTACCAAACTCGACCTTAGGGCGGCGTACAACCTCGTACGGATCAAGCAGGGGGACAAGTGGAAGACCGCGCTTAACACTAGAACCGATCACTATGAATCCCTGGTGATGCCCTTTGGGTTGTGTAATGCACCCGCGGTCTTTCAGGAGTTCATAAATGATGTCTTTCATGACTTGTTGCAGCAGTGTGTGTTGGTTTACTTGGATGACATCCTGGTTTACTCTGCCTCCATGGAGTCCCATATCCAGGATGTCAAGCAGGTGCTGCAACGGTTACGTGAGAACGAACTCTTTTGTAAGCTCGAGAAGTGCGAATTCCACCGGTCCCAGGTTGCCTTTTTGGGCTACATCATTTCTGCGGTGGGATTCTCCATGGACCCTCAGAAGGTTGTGGCGGTTCTGCAATGACCTCGTCCCAATGGTCTTCGGTCCATTCAGCGCTTTTTGGGTTTCGCCAACTATTATCGGAAGTTCATCAGGAACTTCTCCACGCTGGCAAAGCCTCCCTCAGACCTAACCAAGAAGGGCAATAATCCTCACGAGTGGCCATCTGAGGCCATCGTAGCTTTCGAGGCTCTGAAATCCGCCTTCGCTTCGGCTCCGATACTGTCTCAACCCAATCCTGGGTTGCCCTTTGTCCTCGAGGTTGATGCATCTGAGACGGGAGTAGGCGCTCTCCTGTCTCAGCGTCAGTCGCCCGATGGACCCCTACTTCCCTGTGGGTTCTACTTACCGATCACAAGAACCTGACGTATCTGTCAGGGCTCCAGGTATGACCAGAGGTGTGTGGACCGACACAGGGAAACACAGACTTCAGGTATAGCGTGTAACACAATATAATTTATTAAAGACAACACAAACATAAACGCAGTGCAAATCAAACTCAACACTTACATAAATATGTACAACCAGGTGCAATAAACCTTAAACTAATAGGTACCAGTGCAGTCAGGGCTGGAGAGGTGAAGCGGTCAGGCAGGCCGAGCCCACAGCACAGATTTCCTCAGGGCGCGGGGTCTAAGTCCCAGCCTGCTATTCACCAGGGCCCCTGATGGTGGGGATGGACTTGATGCAGACTGGAACCAGGTCGCGAACCCTGAGTGCTTCCGGCTGTGGCCGAGTCATCTGGCACGACAGTGGGCTTCGAGTCATCTGGCAGAACCGCGGGCACCTAGTCATCTGGCACGACAGCGGGCACCAAGTCATCTGGCACAACAGCAAGCACTGGGTCACCAAGCTCGACAGCGGGCACCAAGTCATCTGGCACGACAGTGGGCTCCGAGTCATCTGGCAGAACCGCGGGCACTGAGTCATCTGGCACGACAGCGGGCTCCGAGTCATCTGGCACGACAGTGGGCTCCGTGTCATCTGGCAGAACCGTGGGCACCAGGTCACCAAGCTCGACAGCGGGCACCGAGTCATCTGGCAAGACAGCGGGCACCGAGTCATCTGGCAAGACAGCGGGCACCGAGTCATCTGGCAAGACAGCGGGCACCGAGTCATCTGGCACAACTGCGGGCCCCGAGCCATCTAGCAGAACCACAGGCAACGGGTCACCAAGCTCGACAGCGGGCACCGAGTCATCTGGCACAACAGCGGGCACCGAGTCATCTAGCAGAACCACAGGCAACGGGTCACCAAGCTCGACAGCGGGCACCGAGTCATCTGGCATGACAGCGGGCACCGAGTCATCTGGCACAACAGCGGGCACCGAGTCATCTGGCACGACAGCGGGCACCGGGTCACCAAGCTCGACAGCGGGCACCAAGTTATCTGGCAAGACAGCGGGCTCCGAGTCATCTGGCAGAACCACGGGCACAGGTCACCAAGCCCGACAGCGGGCACCGAGTCATCTGGCACGACAGTGGGCTTCGAGTCATCTGGCAGAACCGCGGGCACCTAGTCATCTGGCACGACAGCGGGCACCAAGTCATCTGGCACAACAGCAAGCACTGGGTCACCAAGCTCGACAGCGGGCACCAAGTCATCTGGCACGACAGTGGGCTCCGAGTCATCTGGCAGAACCGCGGGCACTGAGTCATCTGGCACGACAGCGGGCTCCGAGTCATCTGGCACGACAGCGGGCTCCGAGTCATCTGGCACGACAGCGGGCTCCGAGTCATCTGGCACGACAGCGGGCTCCGTGTCATCTGGCAGAACCGTGGGCACCAGGTCACCAAGCTCGACAGCGGGCACCGAGTCATCTGGCAAGACAGCGGGCACCGAGTCATCTGGCAAGACAGCGGGCACGAGTCATCTGGCAAGACAGCGGGCACCGAGTCATCTGGCACAACTGCGGGCCCCGAGCCATCTAGCAGAACCACAGGCAACGGGTCACCAAGCTCGACAGCGGGCACCGAGTCATCTGGCATGACAGCGGGCACCGAGTCATCTGGCACAACAGCGGGCACCGAGTCATCTAGCAGAACCACAGGCAACGGGTCACCAAGCTCGACAGCGGGCACCGAGTCATCTGGCATGACAGCGGGCACCGAGTCATCTGGCACAACAGCGGGCACCGCGTCATCTGGCACGACAGCGGGCACCGGGTCACCAAGCCCGACAGCGGGCACCGAGTCATCTGGCACGACAGCGGGCACCGAGTCATCTGGCACGACAGTGGGCTTCGAGTCATCTGGCAGAACCGCGGGCACCTAGTCATCTGGCACGACAGCGGGCACCAAGTCATCTGGCACAACAGCAAGCACTGGGTCACCAAGCTCGACAGCGGGCACCAAGTCATCTGGCACGACAGTGGGCTCCGAGTCATCTGGCAGAACCGCGGGCACTGAGTCATCTGGCACGACAGCGGGCTCCGAGTCATCTGGCACGACAGTGGGCTCCGTGTCATCTGGCAGAACCGTGGGCACAAGGTCACCAAGCTCGACAGCGGGCACCGAGTCATCTGGCAAGACAGCGGGCACCGAGTCATCTGGCAAGACAGCGGGCACCGAGTCATCTGGCAAGACAGCGGGCACCGAGTCATCTGGCACAACTGCGGGCCCCGAGCCATCTAGCAGAACCACAGGCAACGGGTCACCAAGCTCGACAGCGGGCACCGAGTCATCTAGCAGAACCACAGGCAACGGGTCACCAAGCTCGACAGCGGGCACCGAGTCATCTGGCATGACAGCGGGCACCGAGTCATCTGGCACAACAGCGGGCACCGAGTCATCTGGCACGACAGCGGGCACCGGGTCACCAAGCTCGACAGCGGGCACCAAGTTATCTGGCAAGACAGTGGGCTCCGAGTCATCTGGCAGAACCACGGGCACAGGGTCACCAAGCTCAACAGCGGGCACCAAGTCATCTGGCACGACAGCGGGCTCCGAGTCATCTGGCAAGACCACGGGCACCAAGTCATCTGGCACGACAGCGGGCCCCGAGCCATCTAGCAGAACCACGGGCAACGGGTCACCAAGCTCGACAGCGGGCACCGAGTCATCTGGCAAGACAGCGGGCACTGAGTCATCTGGCACGACAGCGGGCACCGAGTCACCAAGCTCGACAGCGGGCACCTAGTCATCTGGCAGAACCGCGGGCACCGGGTCACCAAGCTCGACAGCGGGCACCAAGTCATCTGGCACGACAGTGGGCTCCGAGTCATCTGGCAGAACCGCGGGCACCGGGTTACCAACCTCGACAGTGGGCTCCGAGTCATCTGGCAGGACAGCGAGCTCCGAGTCATCTGGCAGAACCACGGGCACAGGGTCACCAAGCTCAACAGCGGGCACCAAGTCATCTAACACGACAGCGGGCTCCGAGTCATCTGGCAGAACCGCGGGCACCGGGTCACCAAGCTCGACAGCAGGCTCCGAGTCATCTGGCAAGACAGCGGGCTCCGAGTCATCTGGCAGAACCGCGGGCACCGGGTCACCAAGCTCGACAGCAGGCTCCGAGTCATCTGGCAAGACAGCGGGCTCCGAGTCATCTGGCAAGACAGCGGGCTCCGAGTCATCTGGCAAGACCGCGGGCACCGAGTCATCTGGCAAGACCGCGGGCACCGAGTCATCTGGCAAGACCGCGGGCACCGAGTCATCTGGCAAGACCGCGGGCACCGAGTCATCTGGCAAGACCGCGGGCACCGAGTCATCTGGCAAGACCGCGGGCACCGAGTCATCTGGCAAGACCGCGGGCACCGAGTCATCTGGCACGACAGCGGGCCCCGAGCCATCTAGCAGAACCACGGGCAACGGGTCACCAAGCTCGACAGCGGGCACCGAGTCATCTGGCACGACAGCGGGCACCGAGTCATCTGGCAAGACAGCGGGCACCGAGTCATCTGGCAAGACAGCGGGCACCGAGTCATCTGGCACGACAGCGGGCACTGAGTCATCTGGCACGACAGCGGGCACCGAGTCACCAAGCTTGACAGCGGGCACCTAGTCATCTGGCACGACAGCAGGCTCCGTGTCATCTGGCAGAACCGCGGGCACCAGGTCACCAAGCTCGACAGCGGGCACCGAGTCATCTGGCACGACAGCGGGCACCGAGTCATCTGGCAAGACCGCGGGCACCGAGTCATCTGGCACGACAGCGGGCCCCGAGCCATCTAGCAGAACCACGGGCAACGGGTCACCAAGCTCGACAGCGGGCACCGAGTCATCTGGCACGATAGCGGGCACCGAGTCATCTGGCAAGACAGCGGGCACCGAGTCATCTGGCAAGACAGCGGGCTCCGAGTCAACTGGCAGAACCGCGGGCACCAGGTCACCAAGCTCGACAGCAGGCTCCGAGTCATCTGGCATGACAGCGGGCTCCGAGTCATCTGGCATGACAGCGGGCTCCGAGTCATCTGGCACGACAGCGGGCTCCGAGTCAACTGGCAGAACCGCGGGCACCGGGTCACCAAGCTCGACAGCGAGCTCCGAGTCATCTGGCAAGACAGCGGGCTCCGAGTCATCTGGCAAGACAGCAGGCTCCGAGTCATCTGGCAAGACAGCGGGCACCGAGTCATCTGGCACGACTGCGGGCCTCGAGCCATCTAGCAGAACCACGGGCAACGGGTCACCAAGCTCGACAGCGGGCACTGAGTCATCTGGCACGACAGCGGGCACCGAGTCACCTGCCGCTCCGCATGGTGGCCCGGTGCCTGCCGCTTCGCCTGGTGATCCGATGTGTCCAGCCCGATGTGCCTCTGCCCGGAGTCCAGCCCGATGTGCCTCTGCCCGGAGTCCAGCCCGATTGTGCCTCTGCCCGGAGTCCAGCCCGATTGTGCCTCTGCCCGAGTCCAGCCCGATTGTGCCTCTGCCCGGAGTCCAGCCCGATTGTGCCTCTGCCCGGAGTCCAGCCCGATTGTGCCTCTGCCCGGAGTCCAGCCCGATTGTGCCTCTGCCCGGAGTCCAGCCCGATTGTGCCTCTGCTGCCCGAGTCCAGCCCAGCCGATTGTGCCTCTGCCCGGAGTCCAGCCCGATTGTGCCTCTGCCCGGATGCCTCTGCCCGGAGTCCAGCCCGATTGTGCCTCTGCCCGGAGTCCAGCCCGATTGTGCCTCTGCCCGGAGTCCAGCCCGATTGTGCCTCTGCCCGGAGTCCAGCCCGATTGTGCCTCTGCCCGGAGTCCAGCCCGATTGTGCCTCTGCCCGGAGTCCAGCCCGATTGTGCCTGCCTCTGCCTCTGCGGAGTCCAGCCCGATTGTGCCTCTGCCCGGAGTGCCTCTGCCAGCCCGATTGTGCCTCTGCCCGGAGTCCAGCCCGATTGTGCCTCTGCCCGGAGTCCAGCCCGATTGTGCCTCTGCCCGGAGTCCAGCCGATTGTGCCTCTGCCGGAGTCCAGCCCGATTGTGCCTCTGCCCGGAGTCCAGCCAGCCCGATTGTGCCTCTGCCCGGAGTCCAGCCCGGAGTCCCAGATTGTGCCTCTGCCCCAGCCCGAGTGCCTCTGCCCGGAGTCCAGCCCGATTGTGCCTCTGCCCGGAGTCCAGCCCGATTGTGCCTCTGCCCGGAGTGCCCGGATTGTGCCTCTGCCCGGAGTCCAGCCCGATTGTGCCTCTGCCCGGCCCGATTGTCCAGCCAGCCCGATTGTGCCTCTGCCCGGAGTCCAGCCCGATTGTGCCTCTGCCCGGAGTCCAGCCCGATTGTGCCTCTGCCCGGAGTCCAGCCCGATTGTGCCTCTGCCCGGAGTCCAGCCCGATTGTGCCTCTGCCCGGAGTCCAGCCCGATTGTGCCTCTGCCCGGAGTCCAGCCCGATTGTGCCTCTGCCCGGAGTCCAGCCCGATTGTGCCTCTGCCCGGAGTCCAGCCCGATTGTGCCTCTGCCCGGAGTCCAGCCCGATTGTGCCTCTGCCCGGAGTCCAGCCCGATTGTGCCTCTGCCCGGAGTCCAGCCCGATTGTGCCTCTGCCCGGAGTCCAGCCCGATTGTGCCTCTGCCCGGAGTCCAGCCCGATTGTGCCTCTGCCCGGAGTCCAGCCCGATTGTGCCTCTGCCCGGAGTCCAGCCCGATTGTGCCTCTGCCCGGAGTCCAGCCCGATTGTGCCTCTGCCCGGAGTCCAGCCCGATTGTGCCTCTGCCCGGAGTCCAGCCCGATTGTGCCTCTGCCCGGTCCAGCCCGAGTCCAGCCCGATTGTGCCTCTGCCCGGAGTCCAGCCCGATTGTCCAGCCCGATTGTGCCTCTGCCCGGAGTCCAGCCCGATTGTGCCTCTGCCCGGAGTGCCCGATTGTGCCTGCCCGGAGTCCAGCCCGATTGTGCCGCTGCCCGGTCCAGCCCGATTGTGCCAGCCCGGAGTCCAGCCCGATTGTGCCGCTGCCCGGAGTCCAGCCCGATTGTGCCGCTGCCGATTGTGCCTCTGCCCGGAGTCCAGCCCGATGTGCCGCTGCCCGGAGTCCAGCCCGATTGTGTCGCTGCCCGGAGTCCTGCCCGATGTGCCGCTGCCCGGAGTCGCCCGAGTCCAGCCAGCCCGATTGTGTCGCTGCCCGGAGTCCTGCCCGATGTGCCGCTGCCCGGAGTCCCGGAGTGCCCGATGTGCCAGTCTTTGATATTCCGCCAGTTACCAGACCCGGGCGGTGGACACATTTTGCCCAGCTGGGACTGTTTGGAGCGTCCTGAGGCTGCTCCTTGAGGGGGGGTACTGTTAGGAATGGACTTGCCAGTAGTGGTGGGACTCACCTGCCTTGTGGGCTGCAGTACCAGGGCTGGCCAGCGGGTGCTCCCAGCAATCAGAGACTCAACTCTACAGTCAGCCAAACACCTGAAACTGCTTATGCAGGTGTATTTAAGTGATGGCCAGACCTGCAGTCTTTGCCTTGGTGTGTGTGTTTTTCCTGGGCCCTGTATCTTGTAATCCTGCATTCTTGTTCCTGTTCCTGCTAGTACGTTTCCTTGTTGCCAAACTCTGCCTGTTCTGATTACGCTGACCCTCTCCTGCTCTGACCCCGGCTCGTTCCTGACCATCCCTCTGCCTGACCCTCTGTACCACGCTGCCCGCTACCTGCTGAATCTGGCTTGTGACCCCGACCATTCTCCGCTTGCTCCCCCTGTACCTACCTGCCCGATTGTTATTGACCCGGCCTGCCTGACGATGCTTGCATTGTATGTACTGTTATCTGTGGGTGGTTGGTTTGGTTTGTTTGCACTGTGTTATGTTTTAGTATTGCACTGCGTTTATGTTTGTATTGTTAGTGTTAATAAATTATATTGTTTATAAACATATCTGAAGTCTGCGTTTCCCTGCGTCAGTCACATACCTCTGGTCATACCCGGGAGCCCTGACAGGGCCGATCTCCTGCCATGGGCGGAGTTTGCCAGGAACTCGGCTGTCAACTCCTCCTCCGGAATGTCTCCCTTCATGGCCAACTATAGGTTCCAACCTGCGGTATTACCTGAGGGGTTCTCACCACAGGACATTCCGGCTGTGGAGAACCATCTTGTTGCCCTGCGTTCTTCATGGGGGCAGATCCAGAAGTCCTTGAAGGACTCAGCACAGCGCCAGAAGTTCCAGGCTGATCGCAGATGGCTGCCCGCTCCTTCATACCAGGTCGGAGATCAGGTGTGGTTGTTTACTCGAAACCTCAATCTTCGGGTTCCCGCACCCAAACTGGCCCCCCGTTTTGTTGGCCCTTTTCGCATCCTCCGCAAGGTGAATCCGGTTGCCTATGCCCTTGCCCTTCCTCCTGGGATGCAGATCTCCAATGTCTTCCATGTATCCCTGTTGAAGCCTCTGGTCTGCAATTGCTTCACTACCTCTCTGCCTCGGCCCCGTCCCATCCGGGTTGACGGTCATGAGGAGTATGAGGTGAGCCGGATCCTGGACTCTCAGTTGGTGCGCGGTCGGGTGCAGTTCCTGGTTCATTAGCGCGGTTATGGTCCCGAGGAGCGTTCCTGGGTTCCTTCCGTGGATGTTCATGCTCCTGCCCTCCTCAGCGCTTTTCATGCCCGCTTTCTTCAGAAGCCTTTTGTTGAGCCACGGAGGGGGAGGGGCCCTTGAAGAGGAGGTACACTGTCAAGGTCCTACCTTTTCCCAGAGGTTATGCTGCTCCATGTGCTGGCATCCATCTTGGGTTTCTGCAGAGCATGGTGGGAGCCTTTAATGCTTTCAGGCCTCTGCGGTCCATCCCCCAGAGGGGTGTGGTTGATCACATTTAAGCCTGTTGTCTGCACTTGCTCTTTGCATTTGTGTCTTGTATGATTGTGTTGCAGCAAGCTCTGTTCCTACTCTCGTGGCTCTCCTGGAAACTGACTCGGCTTTGACTAGACTATTCTCAGCGTTATTTCTTTATCTGACCTCCCGTTGCTGAACCCGGCTTGTGACCTGTATATTCTTGTCTACCGTTCTGTACTGTCTGTCCCGCTGTTATCGATCCGGCCTGCCCGACTATGCTATTGTCTTATCTGGTTCCTACCAGCTATACGCCATTGGCGGCGGCCATTACCACAGCTGGGGTGACTCGGGGGCCGGGACCTGGTTCCTGGCTGCGTCAAATCCAACCCCACCATCGGGGCCCTGGTGAAGGGCAGCCTGGGGCTTAGACTCCGAGCCCTGAGGGACTCCGGTCTGTGGGTGGTGGTTGTCGTCAGTCGGTGTGTGACCCTGCCATTAGGCCTTCCTGTCCGTTCCACAGCTCCTGCCCTAACAGGAACTCAGGATAATCTGGTGGGCTTCAGCAGGAATTACAGCGCACCATATGGACTTCCAGGTAACCGGAGTACAATCAGATAAACACCAGGGGGAGCCAACGCTTAGAGCTGTCATCAATGGTATCCTTGAAGAGGAGGGCTCATAACAAAATGAGCCCAAGCACAGAGATTTCCATAGTGCAAAATTGCTTTAATAAATGATGAATAGTAACAAAAAGCAAAGAGAAATACACTCACATGTATAATGATCAGAAATAAAAATGGCCGCTGGCCATATATGGAAAGCCTACGTGGGTATGTCACTGAGGGCAGCTTCCTGACATGTTTTGTGCAAAAGCACGTTCTCAAAGGAAGCGTGCCTCCCTCAGTGACAGCTCTTAAATAGTGAACTCAGCACATGCGCAGTATCCGACAATGACGTCGATGCCGTCCGCTCGCGCAGGCGCAGATCACGCGAACGGCGGCCATTTTCTAGAAGTCCGTCTTTAGGTAGACTTACATTGAGGACATCCTAGCTCTGTAGAGAGGAAGGAAAGAACCTTCTCTCTACCAAAACTTTGTCAAACTATGGATGTATAAATCCCAGGTATAAGGGCAGTGTTAGACGATGTATAGGGACAAAAAGAGGTGCACCAGATCTCATAGTAGATCGTGCAGCTCTAAAGGAGAGCCATATTAAAGTATATATTAATTTATGTGTCCGCAGTCTCTGGTCATCTCCTGTACTTTTTCCGCAGTCTCTGGTCATCTCCTGTACTGTGTCCGCAGTCTCTGGCCATCTCCTGTACTATGTCTGCAGTCTCTGGTCATGCCCTGTACTGTGTCTGCAGTCCATTGGTTCAGAATATTTTTTTTCTTGTTTTTCTCCCCTAAAACCTAGGCGCGTCTTATGGTCAGGTACGTCTTATGGAGCGAAAAATACGGTATATATTTTACACTTCTACACTTTACATTTTTCATCTTAATTTTACTTTTACTTGTGCCATTTTAGTGGATATTGTAGGTGTCTTAATAATTGTTTATACATATATTATAATTAAGCAACATTTTTATTGAAGTGTGATATTCATTTTCCCCTCTATATGGTTCTCTGATCTTATAATATACATACTCTTTTTTTATGTCAGTTATTATTTTTTAACTATACATATGAGTGTTTAGTATATATTAAGAATTTTTGTTTTTATCATTCCTTTTATTATGGTTTTTATTTTTATCTCTGGAATGTGACTGTCATAGTGTGAAAAATCATTTTAACGTGTTTTTTATGTACCTTAATTTTAAATACATGTCTAATGGTGAACTTAGTTACATGAGGATTTAGACACACCAGATGCTGCTATCACAGGTGTGCCTGTATTTTGTTCTGGCATACAGTCATGGCCGAAATTGTTGGCACCCTTGATATTTTTCCTGAAAATCAAGTATTTCACACAAAAAAGGTATT